AATCTTTGAAGGAGAACTTCCTTCTAATCCCTGACAGCTCATGTTAAGAACCCTGGTATTGCCAGTGTCAACATCTGTCTTCCCTTGTGATCAGGATTTCTGAGGAATGGGGAAGGCAAAGCTACATAGGACAATAAAACCAGCACTAGATGAGTTTGTTGACCAGTTTACTTTTTCTTTGCTAATTTTAAAATAATTGCAGACTTAACAGGAAAGTTGGAAGAATAGTGTTGTGCCTTCAGTGCAGTTGCTGTGTCTTCACTCTTCTCCCATCTAGAAGACGGTTCTCTGCCTGCTGGCTTCCAGGACCTGAGCTTTGGAGGAGTGCAGTCTATAGGTGCAGCGTTTGGGATCATCCTGTGTTTGGAGGCAGGTGCTGCTAGCTGGTAGGATGTCCCAGAAATGGCCTGTATCCTCATCACACCCTTCCGGTGGTGCATCAATTGGATTTACCTTGCCCTATTAGCTAGCTTTGATCCCTTGGTTAAGGCACGTTTTGCTGGCTCCTCCATGGTGAAGTCACACTGAAGAATTCTGTAGGGCAAGTGTAAATTTTCATCATCCAGTTTTCACCCACTAGATTAGCATCTGTTGCTTCTTGACTGAACTAATTATTATTATGTTTTTTTTTTTTTAAGTTGTAGATGGACACAGTACCTTTATTTTAGTTATTTATGTGGTGTTGAGAATCAACCCAGTGCCCCATGCGTGGAAGGCAAGCGATCTGCCACTGAGCCACAACCCCAGCCCTTATGGTAGTTTTCAAATGTCAATTTTCTAATTTTAGTTTTTTTCTATATTGTTTGGCATTCTGTAAGAAAACCTTTCCATCCATCCATCCATCCATCCATCCATCCATCCATCCATCCATCCATGTCAACATAGACTCATGAGTTCCTGCAAGTAAATATTATGGTTATAATTCATTCATCATTATTTTTACTTATTTTGTTCCAGTTATCCAAAATCTGATTAGAAACCCTTTATGCTGGCTTCTGTGTCTTTTCCATGTATTATCATATTTTCTCCCTTTATTTTTTAAAGCACTTCAACTAGTAGTTTCTTTGAATGGAGAAAGTGACTTCTCATATTGGAGAATCATTTATAGTCACCACAGGGCACAGCTGTTCTCGGGTCCTCAGAGGACACAGAGAATGGCTATGTGGCTATGTTTGAGTCTCTTTATTTCTTATCTGTGCACTTTAAAGAAACATGAGTTCATACCAGAACATGTGTTTCCGACTCAGTATTGTAGAGTCCATTCTTGTGTTTTCTGCTTTCAGGGTTTTGATCCTCTTCTCCAGCACTGGTAAACTGAAGTCATGCTGTCTTAGCACACTTACTTACTAGGTTAATCTTTGAATCTAGGCAATATCCTGGTGAGAACAATGAGGACCTTTTAATGTTTTGTAAGTTGATTCTGATCCAAGTTACCTTAGCTCTGAATTCTTATCGTAGAACATTATTTATGAAAGAAATATACCAAAGTATAAGATGAATTCCAAAAAGCTCAAGTAGTTATTATATGTGTAAAGATAATTTATAGAAGGACATTTTCTTACTAGGGAACTACCTAAAATTGATTACTTTAGCATTATTAAAGAAATAAAAATTTCTTTTAGTAATTAAAGCAGTCAAAAAGAATATAGAGAAAAATTAACTCCCAAACTATTAGAAGGAGATAAAAGAAGACTAAAGAAAATGCCTCTAGTATAAACCAGGGAAGAAGGGCAGAGGGAACAGCAACAATAAAAAACAAATAAGGCAAAATAAAAACTATAAAGTTTTTTATAAGATGGCAAAAGGCCAGCTGTATCAATAATCACAAAGGAAATTATGGGCTAAACAAGCCTAGTAACAGCACATGTTCAGGTTGGATTCTTTAAAAGGCATACCTAAAACCAAGAGACATAGAAATGATGGTTAATAAACCTACAAAAATATACCAGGCAGCATCGGAAGGAAGCCTGGTGTAGCAGGAAGTTCTGAAGCCGGGGGGGGGGGGGGGAGGAGAACAAGGATAAAGTAGGTTCACTTTAAAGTGAAGAAGGAGCAGTCTCTTAACAGCCCTTGCCACAAAAATAGAACTAAAAATACTTATAGCAAATCCCAGTGATTCCAAAGAACTATTGATGAATTATTTGTTCCAGTGGGGAGTTTTTATTTTTGTTTTGGGGTGCTAGGGATTGAACCTAGGGCTTCATACATGTTAACTACACATTCTACCACTAAGCTACATCCCCAGCTCATGGAGAATCTTAATGATCTGTTCTCTACAAATAAGTACATGTGCTCAATTTACAATGGGGTTATTTCCCAGTAAATCCGTCGGAAGTTGCAAATATTATAGGTTGAAATGCACTTAAGATGCTTTACTGAATTACCATCGTGGCATGGCCTAGCTTACCTTCAGTGTGCTTGAACACTTAGAGTAGACAACATTTGAGCAAAATCATCTAACAGAAAGCCTTTAATAAAGTGTTGAGCATTCATGCAGTTTATCAAAGGTGTACTGAAAATAAAAACCCAAACAGTTGTATGAGTTCCTTTTTGCACCATTGTAAAGACAAAAATCATAAATGGTTTAATTTGTTGATCACCTTAGAATAATATCACTAACCTTGTCCTTAAAAAAACATAATAGCATTTTTTGTGTGTGTATATATGTGGAACATTTTAGAAACATTGAACTCAAGTATTTCATAAATCTTATCAAGTTCTTAAAAAGTGATAAACTACATTGCTTTATCACAGGTCATTAAAATAAAATGGCAACAATACAAGGAGCTCAAGGGAAAAATGTACTCTTAGGTACCTCATGGAAAAACAATGGACATTATTAAAAATGTACAAGTGAGTGACAAAGGAAAACTATGTGGACCATAGCTAAAAATGATTTTTGGAGAGAAATTTTTGACCTTAAGTGTAGTCATTACAAAACAGAACCCCTGAAATTAAATAAATACAGTTCTTTTAATAATTTTCTATGATTTATATTGACTCAAGAAGAAATTAAAAGTTTGAATAAATAATAATCATGAAAGGAAGTGAGGTATGTCAAGAGGAATTCTCCTTCCATCCCTGGGAGCCATCAGCTCTGTACCAAGGGAGGCACCAGAATCAACTGTATCCTTGGGCCAGTTATAATAATCCTTCAAGATGAAGACAATACTTTCCCTGCAGGAACAGAAGGGAAACTACCCAGATTGTTTTAAGGGACTAGGGTCACTTTGGTAGCTCACTGAAAAAAGGACAAAATAATTTCAGTCCACAGCTAGCTGTGTTGATAAGAAAAGTGAATACAAGGAGGCAGGCAGGACTCTGCCTCTGGGGCGTGAGGCTGTTGAGAGGCACAGTCCACATCCCTGGATACGGTGCATAGGCACATGTAAGACTTAAGAGCTGGAGAGGAGACCAAGTAGTAGGGACTTGGGGACCCGAGGAGCAGCACACTTGCACTCCCAGGTCTTGGTTGGTTTGCTTCGAACATCCCAGGCTTGGTGTGGGGTGCAGGGCTCATCAAAAGCTGTTTTTTTCCCCAACCAGAGGAGGAGGAAAGGTGCAGCCTTGCAGCAAGGTAGAGAACCTTAATAGTCACTTGTCAGGTCAGATGCCATATGGTAGAACTGCAGCTCCTCTGTGAGCACAGGCCCAGTGGCGAGCCTGCACCTGTCCTCAATAGGCTGTTCCATGGGGCCCTAGCCCTCCTGTTAGGGTGCAGCCAGGGAAGACACAGCAGGGAGCTAATGAAACCCCCAGGTGCTAGATGATTTGGGAAGCCTGAACTCCATCTTTTCTTCCCTGGGGTACAGTAGGAGGAGGTCTAGAGGAGAGTTAGGACATCTCCATCTCCCTGACAAACAGAGGCCATGTGGGAGCGCTAATGAGACATGCCTGTCCTTCCCAGCCAGGACAACTGTCAGTGGAGTCCGGGCAGGACACCAGAACTTCCACCCTTGCCTGCTACTAACAAGGGATTCCTTCCCCTTCCCTTAGTGTACTGGGAGACGGGGTGGGGAACCTGGATGGAACCAGGTGCTTCCTCTCCTGCCAGCTGGATTGGTGGTGGTGTTAAGAGGAAAATTACAATAGTAGACTTAGAATCCGCAATCCAATTATATGCAAAATCTGCATTTTTAATTGGTAATTGCTTGTTTTATCAAGAACCCAGAAAAATCTCAACTTGAATGAGAAAACCCATCAGTAGATACCACCTACACAGAAATGTTGAATAATCTGACAAGGATTTTAAAGCAGCTATCAAAAAATGCTTTCCTGAGTAATTATGAGCACATTGAAACAAATGAAAAAGTATCAGATCTCAGCAAAGAAATAGAAAGCCTAGTGAAGAGAGAAAAATATGAACAAGAACTAAATGGAGATTATTTATTTATTTACTTTTATTATTTTTTATTTTATTTTATTGATTGTTCAAAACATTACAAAGCTCTTGACATATCATATTTCATACATTAGATTCAGGTGGGTTATGAACTCCCATTTTTATCCCAAATACAGATTGCAGAATCACATCGGTTACACATTCTCATTTTTACATAATGCCATATTAGTAACTGTTGTATTCTACTACCTTTCCTATCCTCTACTATCCCCCCTCCCCTCCCCTCCCCTCCCATCTTCTCTCTCTACCCCATCTACTGTAATTCATTTCTCTCCTTGTTTTTTTTTTTTTTCCCATTCCCCTCACAACCTCTTATGAGGGTCTCCTTCCATTTCCATGCAATTTCCCTTTTCTCTACCTTTCCCTCCCACCTCATGTTTCTGTTTAATGTTAATCTTTTCCTCCTGCTCTTCCTCCCTGCTCTGTTCTTAGTTGCTCTCATTATATCAAAGAAGACATTTGGCATTTGTTTTTTAGGGATTGGCTAGCTTCGCTTAGCATAATCTGCTCTAGTGCCATCCATTTCCCTGCAAATTCCATGATTTTGTAATTTTTTAGTGCTGCATAATACTCCATGGTGTATAAATGCCACATTTGTTTTTTTATCCATTCATCTATTGAAGGGCATCTCTGTTGGTTCCACAGTCTAGCTATTGTGAATTGTGCTGCTATGAACATCGATGTGGCAGTATCCCTTTAGTACGCTCTTTTAAAGTCTTCAGGGAATAGTCCAAGAAGGGCAATAGCTGGGTCAAATGGTGGTTCCATTCCCAGCTTTCCCAGGAATCTCCATACTGCTTTCCAAATTGGCCGCACCAATCTGCAGTCCCACCAGCAATGTACAAGAGTACACTTTTCCCCACATCCTCGCCAGCACTTGTTGTTGTTTGACTTAATAATGGCTACTAATCTTACTGGAGTGAGATGGTATCTTAGGGTGGTTTTGATTTGCATTTCTCTGACTGCTAGAGATGGTGAGCATTTTTTCATGTACTTGTTGATTGATTGTATGTCCTCCTCTGAGAAGTGTCTGTTCAGGTCCTTGGCCCATTTGTTGATTGGGTTATTTGTTATCTTATTGTTTAATTTCTTGAGTTCTTTGTATACTCTGGATATTAGGGCTCTATCTGAAGTGTGAGGAGTAAAAATTTGTTCCCATGATGTAGGCTCCCTATTTACCTCTCTTATTGTTTCTCTTGCTGAGAAAAAACTTTTTAGTTTAAGTAAGTCCCATTTGTTGATTCTTGTTATTAACTCTTGTGCTATGGGTGTCCTATTAAGGAATTTGGAGCCCGACCCCACAATATGTAGATCAGAGCCAACTTTTTCTTCTATCAGACGCAGAGTCTCTGATTTGATATCAAGCTTCTTGATCCATTTTGAGTTCACTTTTGTGCTTGGCGAGAGGAGGGGATTCAGTTTCATTTTGTTGCATATGGATTTCCAGTTTTCCCAGCACCATTTGTTGAAGATGCTATCCTTCCTCCATTGCATGCGTTTAGCCCCTTTATCAAATATAAGATAGTTGTAACTTTGTGGATTAGTCTCTGTGTCCTCTATTCTGTACCATTGGTCCACCCGCCTGTTTTGGTACCAGTACCATGCTGTTTTTATTACTATTGCTCTGTAATATAGTTTGAAATCTGGTATCGCTATACCGCCTAATTCACACTTCCTGCTTAGAGTTGCTTTTGCTATTCTGGGTCTTTGATTGCTTTATCTATTTGTACAAGAAATGCTGTTGGGATTTTGATTAGCATTGCGTTAAACTTATAGAGAACTTTTGGTAATATCGCCATTTTGATGATGTTAGTTCTGCCTATCCATGAACAGGGTATATTTTTCCATCTTCTAAGATCTTCTTCTATTTCTCTCTTTAGGGTTCTGTAGTTTTCATTGTATAAATCTTTCACCTCTTTTGTTAGGTTGATTCCCAAGTATTTTTTTTTTTTTTTGAGGATATTGTGAATGGGGTGTTTTTCCTCATTTCCGTTTCAGAAGTTTTGTTGCTGATATACAGAAATGCCTTTGATTTATGCATGTTGATTTTATATCCTGCCACTTTGCTGAATTCATTTATTAGTTCTAGTAGTTTTTTTGTAGACCCTTTTGGGACTTCTAGGTATAGAATCATGTTGTCCGCAAATAGTGATGGTTTATGTTCTTCTTTTCCTATTTTTATGCCTTTAATTTCTTTCGTCTGTCTAATTGCTCTGGCCAGTGTTTCGAGAACTATATTGAATAGAAGTGGTGATAGAGGGCATCCCTGTCTTGTTCCAGATTTTAGAGGGAATGCCTTCAATTTTTCTCCATTCAGAATGATGCTAGCCTGAGGCTTAGCATAGATAGCTTTTACAATGTTGAGGTAAGTTCCTGTTATCCCTAGTTTTTCTAATGTTTTGAACATAAAGGGATGCTGTACTTTGTCCAATGCTTTTTCTGCGTCTATCGAGATGATGATATGGTTCTTATCTTTAAGTCTATTGATGTGGTGAATAACATTTATTGATTTTCATATATTGAACCATCCTTGCATCCCAGGGATGAATCCTACTTGATGATGGTACACAATTTTTTTGATGTGTTTTTGTATCCGATTCGCCAGAATTTTATTGAGGATTTTTGCATCTAGGTTCATTAGGGATATTGGTCTGTAGTTTTCTTTCTTTGAGGTGTCTTTGTCTGGTTTCGGAATCAGAGTGATGTTGGCCTCATAGAATGAATTTGGAAGAGCTCCCTCTTTTTCTATTTCCTGAAATAACTTGAGAAGTATTGGTATTAATTCTTCTTTAAAGGTTTTGTAAAACTCCGCTGTATACCCATCCGGTCCTGGGCTTTTCTTGGTTGGTAGTCTTTTGATTGCCTCTTCTATTTCATCAATTGATATTGGTCTGTTCAAGTTGTGTGTATCCTCCTGACTCAGTCTGGGCAAATCATATGACTTAAGAAATTTATCGATGTCTTCACTATCTTCTATTTTATTGGAATATAGGTTTTCAAAATAATTCCTAATTATCTTCTGTATTTCTGTAGTATCTGTTGTGATATTGCCTTTTGCATCCTGTATGTTAGTAATTTGAGTTCTCTCTCTTCTTCTCTTCTTTAGCATGGCTAAGGGTCTGTTGATCTTATTTATTTTTTCGAAGAACCAACTTTTAGTTTTGTTAATTTTTTCAGTAGTTTCTTTTGTTTCCATTTCGTTGATTTCCGCTCTGATTTTAATTATTTCTTGCCTTCTGCTACATTTGCTGTTGTTTTGCTCTTCCTTTCCTAGGGCTTTGAGATGAAGTGTGAGCTCATTTATTTGTTGGTTTTTTCTTTTTGTGAGGAATGACCTCCAGGTGATGAATTTCCCTCTTAAAACTGCTTTCATTGTGTCCCATAGATTCCGATATGTTGTGTCTGTATTTTCATTTATCTCTAAGAATTTTTTGATTTCCTCCTTTATGTCTTCTGTAACCCATTGATCATTCAGTAACATATTGTTCATTTTCCATGTGATGTAGGATTTTTCCTTCCTTCTTTTATCATTGATTTCCAGTTTCATTCCATTATGATCAGATAAAATACATGGTATTATCTCCACCCCTTTATATTTACTGAGGGTTGCCCTATGGCATAATATATGGTCTATTTTTGAGAAGGATCCATGGGCTGCTGAGAAAAAAAGTATATCCACTTGATGATGGTTGATATATTCTATATATGTCAGTTAAGTCTAGGTTATTGATTGTGATATTGAGTTCTGTAGTTTCTTTATTCAACTTTTGTTTGGAGGATCTGTCCAATGGTGAGAGAGGTGTGTTGAAGTCACCCATAATTATTGTGTTGTGGTCTATTTGATTCTTGAACTTGAGGAGAATTTGTTTTATGAACGTCGCAGCACCATTATTTGGTGCATAAATATTGATAATTGTTATGTCTTGTTGGTGAATGGTTCCTTTTAACAGTATATAATGTCCTTCCTTATCCCTTTTGATTAACTTAGTCTTGAAGTCAATTTTATTCGATACGAGGATGGCCACCCCTGCTTGCTTACGAGGACAGTGTGCGTGGTATATTTTTTCCCAACCTTTCACCTTCAGCCTGTGTATGTCTTTTCCAATCAGATGTGTCTCCTGGAGGCAGTATATTGTTGAATTTGTTTTTTTTAATGCATGTTACCAGCCTATGTCGCTTTATTGGAGAGTTTAAGCCATTAACGTTTAGAGTTACTATTGATATATGGTTTGTACTTCCAGCCATGTTTGATTATTTATCTTTTTTTTTTTTAATTTAGTTTGTTTCTCCATGATTAGCTTTCCCCCCGCCCTCTGTCTTTACTGAGGCACTTCCCACTGATGGTTTTGGTTATTGTTTTTCATTTCTTCCTTGTGTAGTGTTTTGCTCAAGATGCTTTGCAATGCTGGTTTTCTGGCTGCAAATTCTTTTAACTTTTGTTTATCATGAAAGATTTTTATTTCGTTGTTGTACCTGAAGCATAATTTTGCTGGATACAGAATTCTTGGTTGGCATCCATTGTCTTTCAGTGTTTGAAATACGTTGTTCCAGGATCTTCTCGCTTTCAGCGTCTGTGATGAAAAATCCGTTGTTAACCTTATTGGTTTACCCCTGAATGTAGTCTGCCTTCTTTCTCTTGTAGCTTTTAATATTTTCTCGTTGTTCTGTATATTGGATATCTTCATAACAATGTGTCTTGGCGTTGGTCTACTGTGATTTTGTATGCTCGGTGTCCTGTATGCATCTACAATTTGTATATCCGTTTCCTTTTTTATTTCTGGAAAGTTTTCTATAATTATTTCATTCAGCGGGTTGCTCATTCCCTTGGTTTGAACCTCTATACCTTCCTCTATCCCGATGACTCTTAAGTTTGGTTTTTTTATGTTATCCCATATCTCTTGGGTGTTTTTCTCGTAATTTTTTACCAGCCTTTCTGAGTTGGCTAGACTCTTTTCAAGATGATATATTTTGTCTTCATTATCTGATGTTCTGGCTTCTACTTGCTCCACTCTGTTAGTGATACTCTCATTTGAGTTTTTAATTTGGTTTATAGTTTCCTTCATTTCTAGAATTATTGTTTGATTTTTTTTATAATCTCTATCTCCTGATAAAGATGCTTAATTTCTTCTTTTATCTGTTTATGTAATTCATTTTTAATGTGTTCTTTCACTGTTTGAATTTGCTGTCTCATATCCTCTTTAAGGTTCCATTCCATCTGTCTAAGGTATTCCTTGAGTTCTTTATTTGACCATTTTTCTGATGCCTCTAGGTCCTCCTGAATATTTAGGCTGTCCTGAATTGTTTGTACTCCTTTTCTTCCTTGCTTTTTCATGCTGCTCATGTTACTTCTTGTTCTGTTTGACTGCTGAGTTACTGTTTACTCCTATAAATTTATTTGATGCTTGGGAGGAAAGGTATTAGAAGGGAAGGGAAGAAGTCACTAAAGGGAATGAGAGTAAGCAGGTAGAATTCAAGGAAGGGGGAATAAGGAAATTGAAAAGAAATGAAAAGACAAGAAAAAAATAGAAAATTGAAAAAAGAAAAAATAATAATAAAAAAATAAAAATTAAAATTAAAAAATAATAAAAAAATTTAAAAAACAACAAAAAAAATGGTTTTCTTTTTATGAGATAATCCTTAAATTTATTGTTATAGGGCAGTGCTTGATAGCCAGATTGATAAAGTACATTTCTTTCTTTCTGTCCATGTGAATGTTTTATAAATAGTAGAAATTCCATTTTATGTTAATTTAAATAATTTTCTTAAGTATTTAGAGCCCATAAGGCAACCCTGGAAAGTGTCATTCATATACATGATGACACATTACCCAGCAGTGGTGGCTATACTAAAATCCACCACTTGACCACATCGGAAGTTTTCATGTCTTGGAATGTCCTATATTTAGGCATAAGTAAATTGTTTTACGTGGTATGTGAGTAATGAGGTTTTTTGGTAAAAAAAAATTGCAGTTCTTAAGTGTGTTCATTACTGAAGGTTCATGGCTGAAGCAGTGTTAAGTGTCTTCAGTAAGCAAATTAGTAGAGTATCTATAGTAGAATTTGAAAAAGGATGAAGATTTAAAAGGATGCCTGGGGTGAAATAGAACTGCAGTCCCTTGTGAGACAGCAGGGAGGTGACCAGGAGTAGTTGCTTAGTTAGACATCTCTGCCTCTTAGACCAGGAGCAGTCAATACAGAACAGTGTGTACAAACAGCCGTTCTTCTGGAGCATAACCAGGGTGGATGCTGATGGTTTAGTAAGGGAGAGTACAAGCCCGTCTCAGTTCACTCACACACAGAAGGTGTGTTTTCAAACCCTAGTTTGTAATTTGGTTGTTATTGCCCTCATTTTCTTTTCTAGTGAGATATAGACTAGCCCAAAACTTTGTTCATGAGTGTAGAATTATTTTAGTATTAATAGCCATGAATTCTAGGTCTTCAAAAAACATGCTTTCCCCCTCTTAGGGGAAAAGGAAGGCAAATTTTAGGCATAATTTTGAAATATTTGAATTTGAACTCTGCCCTTTCAACTCCTTTTCACACATCTGTACAACCATTTCCTGTTCTTTGTGCATTCTGTGCACCCCATTCCTTCACCTCCCCCTCTTAGTCGAAATCATCTGAAGCTGTTTTAATTGAGTATTTATTGGTCTCTTCTCCAGTGGAAACCCAGTGTTGAAGGAAGGCAGTTGGTTGGGATCAATTCATGCTGAAGTGTGGATGACCCACAGCCCCACAGACATTTCAGAATTTTTTGTTGTTGTTCCTTAAAGAGGTGGTTTTGCTTTTTTCTTTTTTGGGTTTAGTTTTAATCTAGTTGATTCTTTGTTGATATTTCAGAGGACAAATGAAATGAACGTTTGACTTTGTGGCCAGAGTTATCTATCCTTTTCTGTTGGATATGAATGGGCTGTGGTTGGAGAATACAGGGAAAGATGGTAGCCATTCCTCCCCAAGTCCCTAGTCCATCTGTAGAGGCCGGGACAGACTTTTGTATTTGAAAATACCCTCTGGAACTCGCAGGGTGCCTGCATCAAGTGTAGCAGGAAGGGCTTTTTCTGCACATCCCACTGTAGCAGAGTCAGCTGCCTATAGTGAAGGTGAGCAGAGTCCCACTCTGGACAATGGCTTGTGTGTGTTGGTAAGCTTTGGCCTTCTTGCAGTGCAGAGGCCCTGTGGGACTCTCTTGGTCTGTTGTGGCTGGTAACTATGCCACCAAGGTGCTGCATCTGTGGGGTACCAATCAGCAAACAGTGATTGATTCTAGGCCCAAGCATCCCTGTCTAAAGATGAAAGACCAAATTGGCAAAGAAAGGGTGCGTTGAAGGTGTCACTGTGCAAAGTACAAAAGGGCAGATGATGAATAGTGGTGCAATTCTATAAGTAGTACAGGCGGTCAGGGTCAGCTCACAGAGGAGGGAACAGGACAGGTGTCAGTGCTGCTGTGTTCTCTGTCATCATTGCACCTCACCTTTTCTCACCATGCCTTACACAGTCTACCTCATTCAAAATGTGTTTTCTGTTCTGTGATACATTGTTGCTTATTTTGATACAAAGTGGTGTGAATTCTTCATGAACAAAAGTGATGATTTTTAAAAGCTGTCCCACGTTTATCAAGTGACTCGATGTCTCCTTGTGCAGCTGTCTCTTACTCCAGACTGAGAAGCATGAGCCCACTTACCCCATCGCAACCTTCTCAGCATGTTAGAGATGAGTACATTCCGACTCCAGAGGGAAGGAGCTTCAAGAGGTGTCACGGGAACTGAGTGGTGGTGTTAAGTTTCTCCCCTACTCTACTCATAAGCATTTTGTAATTCTGTAAAAGAGAAAAACTAGCAAGATAGGTAGAATGTTTATCTAAAACTTAAGAAAGATTTTTGCTTCTAAGTTACTGAGTTTCAAGGAAATATTTTTAAAGGCTCCTGATTTTTTTTTTTTTTTAAAAATCTTTTTCATTTCCTTGTATGCATGTGAAATTTAATTTCATCCTTAATGTTCAGGAAAGCTATATGCATATTTTAAAAGTTAGATGTTTGGCATGCTTGAAGAGGGTTTCTAAATTTAAAAAAGCAGGTCATAGTGGGCTGCTCCCCTTGAGAACTCTATCCATAGCCCTTTTACATGTATCTGTGCACACCTGACTGTGGAACACAGTGCCTTGGCCACAAGTGACTAGTCTGCTTCCTCATTACACAAAAATTCTAGTGTGGCCCCTGAACGTGTTCCTTAGCCACACTGTATGGTAAAAGCCAAGAACCCTGAGTTTGAAACTAGCAAAATCTCATTTTAAACACTGACCTCAAATTATTAATATAATATTGCATAAAAAGGGTTTTAGTTCTCTGTACCTATTTCCTTATTCTTAAAATGGGTAATAGTGCTTACTTTATGGACTTTTTATAAACCTTCTCCTGAATTGTCTGTGATGATTAGGATATAACATTATTGTGTAATGCCCAAAAGGTTTTATGTTGATCATTTACCTTGTAAATTTAATCAGCCTTGTTTGATAAGGATGTAGAAAGGAAGGGAGACATCCATCAAGTGAAATTTACTTGAAAATACTGAATAATTCCATAGTTTGCTTAGCCCTTTTGCTGAAGATCTGTACTCTCGAGTAGCATACTGCCTTCTTTCACGTGAGATTGGTTTTCATGAGAGAAAGGACACTGCTTAATTTGTGGCATTCCACTAATCTCTTCTGTTAATTTGGTAGTATAAAAAGATTTGCAAATAATGAGTTCCATACCCTCAAAGATACTTTCATACACTCTGTCCTGCTTCCACATTTGTACTGTTGCCATGTTCTAAGTAGGACTTTCTCCTGACTGTGTGTTAATAACTGGAAAATTCCCTATCAGTAGAATGGCACCATCTTGACAGCCCTGGGTTCTGCTTCTACCTTGCTAATTGTTTCCTTGGGATTATTTGGATTGTGTGGAAAAGCTTTTTGCAAATCCTCTTATTACTGAAGTCATTGTTGCCAGCAGGAATAAGATTAAAGGTGCTTAAGTCTGTAGAGTTGTTTCTAATTTGTACGTGTCATTTCAGTGGCGTTTTAACAGAACTCTGTCTCCTGTCCCTCCCTTCTCCCTTGGTACTATCTCAAGTTAAGTCCAAGAAGCCAGACCATTGGAAGAAATCACATTTTATCCTCCTAATTATTATGCTGGCACTCAGGAGATAATTTTTCCCTTCATGCACTGCCAATTAATATGCAAATGAGCTGATAAATATTTATGCAATGATTTAAATTATGCAGGGAGTGCTTTCAGTGTATTCTGTAAATGAATTGTTCCTGGACTTCAAAGTGCTGGCTGCTGTGCTAACGAGGAGAGATTTGCATAAGGCCCTAATCACGCGCATACTGATTAAGCTTCATTATGGAAACTGCCAGCTGCAATCTTTGTTTCTATTTTATTACAAAAAGGGGAACTTTTCATGCTTCAGTTGCCTTGACAATGTCAGTCCTAGCTGGTAGGAGAGACTAAAACTCCTCTGAGCAACTGAAGTTTCCTTATTCAGCTGAAGATTGCTATGGTGTAACTGAAGTTGTATTTTGCTTCTCCTGTTAATCCACTTTCCACTCCCCACTCTGTTCTCTGAAGAACATGGTGCAGATTTGTTAGAAATAGTGCTACCTTCTTTCCCCCACCCCAGACCGCTACCTGTTTCTTGCTTGCTTTGGATTGTCCACACCTCTAGAAGACTTCACAGCGATGCTGGACTGCAGTGACTGTGTTCTAGGTGGGTACCAGCACAGTTCTTTCTTAGAAGCTTTAATATGGAAATAGCACGTGAGGGGTTGACTATGCTTAAATGCTTAATCACATGCAGCCAAGGCAAGGGAGGGGGAGAGGTGGTTGAGTGAGGAAGAAGGAAAGCATTTGCAAAGCACTATGTGTGCTTGAGTGAGCTGTGGTCCCTCCCTATGCGGGCTCTTCTGGTTCCGAGCGTACTTTGAATAGTGTGGATTGAGAATTTGACCTCAATGGGGGACATTTTTTACTTTTGGGGGACTTCTGTGGAAAGCATTTAATACAAATTCTAAAAAAAACATTTTTAAATCAGAAACAAGGTTTGAACTGTACCTAAATAATATAAAATGTACATATTAATAAAATTTTTGCAAACCTAGTATCTCAGTGAAAAATGAAGTGGAGCCATCACCTAGAATTGTTTCCGTACATACTATTGCAACATTGTAGTGTTGACTGCAGTTTATGTATTGACCCATTTCCAGATTTTAGACATTATGAACTTTTAAAATTCCAAGATTATGCCTTGTTTTTGTGTTGAAACCAACTATCTTTTGTAGAAAACTATGGTTTTAAGTATTGGAAAGCTTATCTTAAAAAGAGTTTTCCCTATAGACAAGCAAGCCTTTAGAGAGGGAGGTATCCTACTTTAATTTTAATGTATACACTGCCTTTGGTTGTCTGAGATTTAAAATAGATAGAGGCATTCTGGTATTGAGGCAGATGGTGGCTCCTGGTGGCCACATTTTGTGTGGAGTTTTGTTTATTTCTCTATAGTATTAATGAAACCTTTTTAGGTTATTGTAGTCACCAGAAAAGTCAGGGGATAGAAACTCCGGGAGTTGGATACATTAAGTCTAAAACTTCTGCTGATGATTTTTCTTTTCCTGTGTGTCATTTTTCCTACTTGAAAATTGAGGCTACTTCGGTCACCTTCCCAGTTGCCAAGGGAAAATAAATTGATCATTCTGAAGATGGATGAATTCTTATGCAGAAGGCATGGCCTGAACCCAAGGTAGTAGTTACATGGTTCCCCACAATAAAAATCCCCATCTAAAGGGCACGTGATGAGCAGTACATGGATGTCAGGAATTCAGGAGCAGCCTGTAGACTTCGTGTTGGTCTCACTGTGTCAGTTCAGGGGCATAGACGTGTATTTTTTATACTGGCCAGAGAGAAGATGATTTCAGATGTCAAAGAAGAATTTACTTGTTTTTACTCTTTTACATTTACTAAGTTGAAAACTCAAGAAACAAAAGGAAAATACCTTTTTGAGATATTTTTAACATTTATTGTTGAATTAGAAATTATGTCTACTACTTTCAACTAACAGTCAATATCATTGAAATAGTCTTATCATTGTTGTTGCAGTTAATCAGAATTTTATTGTTTTATTCTCTTTGGTATGTTTGAAGTAGTTTCATTAAATGCCCTTGAAACTCTTTGACAATTCAGTGATTGGTCCTTAGGAGATTCACATAAAATACCTGTGACATAATTTTTAACTTATAAATGTGGAAATAAGGACGTGAATTACGCAGGGTCAGGCTCGTGAGCTGTTAACGATTTGTGCTTGCTTTGTTTCTATGATGTCCCTATATGTGGGAAATCGTTACCCTTTTTATCAATGTTAACTTATTTATTATTTTTTCTACTTTCCTTTAAAATACATTCTAAGAGAAGCATTAAACCATTTGCATTCCTAATGGCATTTCTGTTAAACTTGTGATCTTTGTTAACTTTCATAAGAGTTTGGGTAAGTCATTCAGAAAGCTGTTTTTCACTAAGTCACACACCTGTTTCTTTCAAACCTTAGTACGCTTTCAGATGATATTTAAAATTTTCTGGACAGTGGGGAAAGGAAGTTGTAGAACTGTCCTCATTTATGACCACAGACACAAACTTTATGCCTTTGAATATCTATAGAACAAACCAAGGATACACTATACCATCTAAGCCCAAAAGACAAACATGAGGCACAAAAGCTTACAGTTTGAACAGTTTGAGAGGCTGTTACATAGCCTGTAGATTGGATATGAAATTTTATCAAAAAAGGGCTCTTAATTTTTTTCCTTAGCACTTTGTGCATGTGGATGCTGCAGCTTAATGGACACATGGTCAGGACTTCAAATCAATGCTGTCATTCCTAGTTGAAGTGTTTATTCTTCTCTAATAACTACAGTTAAATAGTTGAAAACGTAGAACTTTTTTGTTAATAAACTTCTCTGATTGCAAGTATTCCAAGTTTTAGTTTGCAGTAGATATAGAACAAGATGTTTACTTTTTTTTTTCTTTAAACCCTTTTAAAGAGGTAGAATAGCAGTGTTGTTCTTGACTCCTCTCCTGCATGTTTTCTAGGACACTATTTTATACAGCTTGGTGAAAATCCTGGTGGAAACGAACTTGTTTACATAGATAGCACTGAAAGAAGTAAACTCAAATTAGCAGGTTCATTTGAGATGTCCGGGTGATAAGATTCTAAGTGGGCATGGTTACGATTCAGTCTTGAAGTCTAATTTAGAGATTTCTGTTGTGTCTGCTGGTATAACTTTTGTACTGGTTTTTGCTTGAGGTATATATTTGACATATTATTATTTTGACTTAGATTAGTTTGGTTGAGGAAGGGAAGATGTATATTTTTCTTAGACATTTTCTTTTGAGTTACTATCCCATCTATTATCCATATTAAAATTCTTTAGAAAGATAATTAATTTGTGGATGCCATCAGGATCCCAGGGATCCTGAATTTCTTTCAGGTTCCTTCTATTACAGTTTGTAATGTTTAGCTTGATATGTCCCTGAACTAACTGTATGAATGTGACATTAGTTAACCCTTTTCCTTTTTCTTTTCTTTTTGTGGGGGAGGGGTGCCTTCTTAGCCCATCTTTACCCCGAATTAAAAATCGTATTCCCCTCTGCTTTATTACAGACTCAAGAATGAACAATCCGTCAGAAACCAGTAAACCGTCGATGGAGAGTGGAGATGACGCTACAGGTAAGAAGTAGTCTCTGATCTAGCTTTTTAATTAGATGAGATAGAGCTGATAGAAGAAACTTGCCACTTCACTTGGACATATATTTGGCTTGTACAGAACAGTTTGCACATTGAGTTGTCAAATATGATTTAGTAGTTGCACCAAGCGCAGTTGTTTATTTAATATTATCTAACTTTCTTCTGCAGATTGCTTTATCTTTCTGCTTCCATCTATCAGAAACTACAGAATCGTTATGGGAATAGTTGTTTGGGTCAGATAGTTCAGGGTATGAATTATGGATTTACCACTTAATGACTGTGTGACTTTAGGCAATTTCCCCAATCGTTTTGAGACTGAATTTATTCAATTATTCAATAGGAATGTTTCATAGGTCATTAGGAGTATTAGATGAGAGAATATACGTGAAGTGTGAAGCATAGTGCCAGCTGCACCGTGATCGTGCTGTTCAGAGTGTCGCTTGTTATAGACGTTGATCAGAATAGTAAATCTCATCCACCCCATATTGGTTATAAGTTATGTTAAAAAGTCCATATTTTGTTAAGTAGTTATAAACACACTCATTTCTAATACATTCTCTTATTTCATTTTCTAAAATTTACACACGATTAAACCTTTGATCAAGAGAAAATTAATTATCATTATCATATAAATGAGAAAACTCAAGCCCCATGAGAGAAAGGTGAATCCATTAAAAGAATGTTGGTCTCTGCAGCCCATACTCTTGTTAAGTCAGTATATTGCTCAAGGGACATTTGGCTCTGTATCTTTATCATCTGCTGGAGATGCGCAGAGACTCCCATTTCTAGAAGAGCTTGGATTCCAAGTATTAGGCTGCATGGAGAAGAGCACCATGGGTAGGATGCACAGGAGGTGGCATTTCTAGAGTAGACAGGTTTCCACCTGCAGAGAGTCCTCCCTCTTTGGCTGTTTTTTAAAAAAATGTGCCTGACTCTGGGAGGTGGCAAGAATGAGGCATCCTCGAAACCGTTTTCTACCTCTATTGGCCACAAAACTTTTTAATTGGTGGTAGATGGGTGGCTTGAACCAATGTTCCTGCCTGTGTGGTTTCTACTATAGGCTATCCTATACCTGGAGACACCTATTAACCTTGTCATCTCTAAAATGTTTCTACCTCTTTGTGTGAACTGAGCTATAAGGTTAACATGTGCAACTGGGTTACATTAAAGGTGTCTCCTGTCACTCTGACTGAATAAATATTGCGGTAGACTGCTTTAGGTTCCTGAGAAGGGGTGTGGGGGGTACCATTGAATTCTGCCTGAATCGTCAGCCACAGTCTCCTTCCTGTTATTCCTCTAACCCTGCTTTTGCCCCATCTTCCTGTGGCGGCGGGGGGGGGGGGGGGGGGCATTGGTGCCTGTGCCAGTGTGGGTGCTTTGGCCACAGCCAAAGGTACATACCTTTGCAGAGAAAAAATGCTGTTGATCACACTGGGAGGTCAGAGGAGAGTGGGTGGGACACACTTGGCTAAAGAATAGCTTCAAAGACAAGACTCAGTTTTTCTGTCAAGGGAATAGAAACAGACAGACTGACAGAAGGATTGGAGAATACTTAAAATATTCACTATATTGGCCTCATTAGAATGCCCATGTTTGTCATGCTCTTCCTCCCTACTCTATTTTGAGTCACCCCTCTTATATCAGAGAAGACATTGGGCATTTGGTTTTTAGGGATTGGCTAAATGTATGATATGTCAAGATCATTGTATTGTTATGAGCAACTAATTAAAAAAAAACAGAATCCCCATATTTGCCTTAACATCACAGTTTCAGTGCCTGCCGTGTCTTATTGAGCAGCTACAAACTATAATAAAACCCGGTGGCTTGTTTTAGAAAATCCTAAGCACTGTACACATTCCTGATAGCAGTTCTTATGACAAGTTATATGTTATTTCAGGGACTAGGAAATTGAGACACCAAAGCAACTAGGAAATAGAGTATTTATACCCTGAATATGATTTTTCCCCATGAAGTGTAATAAATAAAAATGAAAATTTAAGCCATACTTTGTATTCGTTCAGTCCTAAACCATTTCCACAGCTCTGAGATAACTCCTGGCTGCAGCACTCCTTGAAACAGTCTTGTGAATTTCTTGCCTGTTATCATATTCGGTGCTTGACAGACTTGTTCTCATTATGGAGCTGAGCATTATCAGTTTAGATAAGGGGGAGCTAAGAGCTGGCACTTATTCATATAAGTCTTTATTCCCAACACCACTAGTGGAACTTGATTTCCTCCTTACAAAGACAGTACATTATTATTGTTTTTGTTTTTGTTTTTGTTTTTAAAGAGCTTTTGCTAATGCAATAACAGGTAGCTGGATCAAATGTGACATGATCAGCCATCAACTCTGAACTAGAGTAGCTTACTTCCCATTTGTCTACTGAGGCATTTGCTGCTTTACTAGAGTTATAAATTACTTCCACTTTATGGGTCTTTACATTCACTTGAGAGCAACAGAAGTCTTAATTATCCGTTTCTCTAATGTTTAAGTTCCATTGCCATATTGAAATCTGATATTTTCTGGATTCAGAATACTTTTGTGTTGATCATCTTTTCTCGAATGTTTATAATTATTATGATATTGACTTGTGAGATTTTAAGGAGAATGATCTTAAAAATTATTTAAGATTATGTTGATATTATGCTTGTTTGTCTTTCTCTATGATTTATTTTAAAAAGCAAATCTAACAGTGCATTTTAGTCAGATGACCCTATGTGTTCACAGAAAATCTGTAGTTTAGACTTGTTCAGGTTTGTGTCGTCTTCTGTATGTACCATATCATAGTTGGTGTTATTAGGTCCAGTGCAAAAAGACCAGCCTCTTTCAGTCTTCAAGGGGTTAGCAGCCTACTGATTCTGGGTAGGTGGTGGTAAGTAGTTCAAGAGCAGATATGGAGGGGTGCAATGTGTTGGTCAGTGGGAGTTTGAGTATGTTGGTGGAAGGAACCATCATGGGTAAAGAGAGGGAAGAAACCTAACTGACAGATAAAGGCTGTGATAAAGGAAGTGCAGAATGAGGATAAATTTTGAGAATGAAAAAATGTGCACCCTGGGCTGGGGTTGTAGCTCAGTTGTGGAGCACTCACCTAGCACGTTCAATCCTCAGCACCTCATAAAAATAAATAAATAAAAGGTTTTGTGTCCATCTACAACTTAAAAAAATTTTTTTCAAAAAAATGTGCACCCTTTTTCTACAGTAGGGAAGAATGGAAGACTTGTTTTTGTCTCCAGTGCCCAGTCTGCCCTGGTGTACTTAGTGGGAGTACTAAACCTTGAATAAGATAGTGATTTTGTTCTCAAGAAATTAATGTTGTAGATGTTTGAGAATACAGCAGAAATTGAGAAGTTTCATAAAAGGTGTATGAGAATCCACTGTAGGGAGAAACTGTTCCTGACTTGGAGGACCAGGGAAGGTTTTGAAGAAGGTAGAGCCTCCAGTGTGCCTTGAGGGTAGCATTTAAATGAGATGGTGATGGGCAGGATTTGATCCTTCGAAGCAGCAGGAGTCCAGTTAGGGAAGGAGAGCTGCCAGCTGGGTCCTGAGGTCTCCCATTCCTTCAGGGTGCTGCTGTTGTGCCTTGATGCCCACACACGTCCTCGGTCAGCCATCCTCAGAACCAGTGACCATTCCAGGTCCTCCCACTGCAGTGCAGCCACTGCTCTTTCCTCTAGCTCATTGTTTTTGTAAATTTACCTTGGCTTTTTAGACGTAGTTTTGATAATGAAGGAAAGTGAAAAGGACCTGTTTTTAAATATCAAGTTTTATGTAATTTTTTTCTGATAACATTGGTTCTGAAATATGAAAACTTATTTTCTTGTAAAGCAGTGTACCTGTTAAGTCACTGACTTTCTAGTCGGCTAACTGTACCTCTCTTCCCACCTGGATTATGATAGGTATAAGACTTCCATATCCTGTCCTGTTTTACTTCATTTTCTATCCAGAGGTCTTCCCTCCCCCACCCCCGATCTAGAGACAATGGTTAGATTTTTTGGGCAAATGAAAAGGCCAAAGAAATTTATTAATGTAAACTAATGTGCATTTATGAAGTAGTATTACACAAATATCATTCACGAGAAGTTCTTAGTAATCAGTGATGTTTGTCTTGTGGAATTTACTAATACCATGGCTGATGTTAGGAAATTATATTCATAAAGAGAATGATCAGAGGTCATTTTCTCCAGAATGAGGAGAAAGGATCCCGAAGACCAGGGTTCCAGTAAATAAACTAGTATTCTTCTTAATGATTTGATGCCTTGAACTGGCACTTTGGAAACATTTCCAAAAATGTGCCTGAAAATACAAGCGTTTTCAGGAGTAACATCTGAAAATCACTAGAGAACAGGCCTCAGGTAAAAATCTCATCAAACCAGAGTAGAGCAATGGCAGACTTCAGATTCTGAAGGACTAGCTTCCCTTTAAACTTACATTTACTTAGAGGCCATTTCTTTTATTATCATCATAATCTTAATGTTTATACATAATTTACTGTGGCTTTCATTCTGCACTGAGTAAGATGCTCCTATAAGCCTGAGGGTAGAAATCCCAATACAAAATTTTTTGGAGTCTTTCACAGGGACGTTTTAAATAATGGGTAATTCCAGGGGCCACTGACAGTAGCTGACCACTCCCAGAGGACCTCAAGAGCACAGTGAAGGGTCTGTTCGTCAGGTGTCAGAACACACATCAGAAAGGTAGGCCTTCCTCCAGGGTTTGAGTTGATAGGAGTTATGGGTTTGTTAACAGGTTTTGGCCACCTCTTGTTGAAAATCTGGCCCTGGTGCATGTGGTTGGTTGGTTGGTTGGTTGGTTAGTTTTTAAGTATAGAAGGGGGAAAGGGAGCTATAATCACTAAACCTGTAAGAATAGTAAAAAGTACCATCTGAAGTATGATTATACCTTTGTTAAATGAGAGAGTGATCAGTTGATCCTATTGCCAGCGATAACCTAATAATAAATTTTAAATTTTAAAAGTATCTAC